CGGGAACCGCTCCTCGGTCGAGATGGCAGCCATCTTGTAGATGTCAGCGCCGGGGGGTGCCTCTAGCAATAACATGGCACCGTCCGTTTGTGTCTTGTTCGCGGCGAGTAATAGTTCAGTCCGCAGACAGGGGAAGCACATGGCTCGCTCCTCGGGCCACTCCCCATCCTCTTCTTCTTCCCCTTCCTCTTGCGTATTAACCAGGGATGAGCGAAGACCACGACGGGCTATCAGGTAGTCGCGCACGGCTGCGCCCTGGATCAAGTGCCCCGTGATCTTGGGCACGACACACCGGCCGCACAGGCGCCTGTTTCCGTAGGTGGTGCCCGGGTACTTGTGGCCGTGCATCTCAAACACGACGGACCAGCCTGCGTGGTTCTGCAGCTTGAGCTTCCTCTCCATGACGCCGATGGGGAGGGTGCAACGAAGGGAACGGCAGGTTTTGCGGAGCGAGAGCAGGTCGAAGAGCGACAGATTGGGTGACGCGAAGATGGCCTGCTGAATCTCGATAGGCAGCATGGTGAGAAACAGATCGGGCTGGCGCGATGCCTTGTGGACGGACAGGGCCCTGCTTCGAGACTTGCGACCGGCAATAGGGAGGTTGGCGAGGCGGCTTTGGGTGGTGCCGCCGCTGACGGTCAGCCCGGCCATGCCCGGAAGCAAAAGGGCGACGGGAGCATCGGCATCCGGGCTGTCCTGGGCGGCGGCGGCGGCGGCGGCGGCGGCGGGCAATGGTTTCTTCTCCTTTGAATTGGCGGCATCTGCATCCACATCTGAATTGAGCACCGGGCCACCTTCCCACCAGCGACGAAGAATTTGGCTGGAAGGCAGGAAAGCCGTGAGACGGTCAAGGACGGGCTGCCGCCGCCGATTTTGAGGAACGCCGACCATCGCTTTCGATAATTAGTGAGCGAGCGGCGGCCTTTTGAAATGAGATGCTGCGAAGCTGAACTTGCGTGAGCCTGAAGGTCGAAGGTGGGCAAAGCTCGTGTTGCGATCTCGGTTCCCGTCTTGACTCAAGTTGATACGAGGTAGGGCGATTAGCTACCTAATGTAAGGTACCTTAGTAAGAGGCCTCTAGTTATAGCGGGCGCGTCAACATGTTGCTGCTGCCTGCAGCAGCTGCAATTTGCCAATGCGCAGCCCGATCGAAGGAAACGCCGATGAGTCTGCCCCGGAGGCTAACCTTTTCCGGAGCTCGGGGAAAGCGAATGGCTGTCAGGTGGCTGGGGCTGAGTCGGCTGCAGCAAGATTGCAAGCCATGGGCGCTGTCCTCACTTAATAATGACAGCGCTAACCCGTATTAGATGTTAGAACAACCTACAGCATCACAAATCCCGGGTACGAATTGCTTCAGCCACAAAAATCCAGAGGAAAGAGATACCTCATATTGAGGCTTCTCCCAAGATGAGAGGATGTTGCCTGGTACATTTTTGGTTAATTAGCTATCGTATTTCAGCCTGATTGGTATTTTTCGGGACAGGAGTGCGACGGTGCGTACGTTCTTCGATGGCACCCGTGAGGGGGTTAAGGTTTACGGAGAACACTAGCAAGGGCACCGGCAAAAAAAGGAGTGAGCAAAAACATACAACACCAGGGATTCGCTGGTGCTAACCCACCCAACTACTGTCTAGCGGTCGCTAGCTTGTCTATAGGAGAGCGGACGGGATCCCAAGTTTTCTAGTGCCTATGGTCGTATGTGGAAGTAAAGAGCGCAAACAGGTTCATAGCTAATACTGGCCTGATGCAAGTTTTGGATGTAAAGCACTTAATCACCGAAACCCAAGTCTATATCTATCCAAGCTTTTTTTACATGAGACTCTACCACGAATTATGGCTCCCTCTTTAGCCACTAATTACCTCCACACTTTGGACAAAGGTGACTTTTTGTATCCGCCCGCAGCCGTACTCTTGCGTCCCTCGTCAGAAGTCGTCCCCGACTTGCCAGTTCCGCTCTTCTTCACAGTCTTCGACGCTACAGAAGCCTCTTCCGTCTTCCGCCTACGGGCCCGGGTGAGGCTGCTTTTCGTCTTGTTATCAAGAACCTTCCTCACCACCTTCTGCGCCGCAAGCTCCTTCCCCGCTGCACCCTCCAAGCCCTCAGCTTCCTCCGCCTCGACGCCGTGCCCGCCAACACAGGCCTCGCACAAGCCCGTGTCGACCTCGCTCCGCACCGCCCCGAGGCCCGCGCCCGGGACCGTCTCGGGACACGCGGTCTCCATGCCCGGCACGGGCTTCCCCGTGGTCTCGGAGCCGTCGTGCAGCTGGTAGCTGCTGCAGTGGTCCCACGTACTCGAGCCCGGCACGGGCATCCAGTCGGCGTGTCCCTGTAGCGCCGACGGCAGGCGCGTGGCCCAGCCGCCGTCGACGTGCCGGGCGGCGCGTACCTCGTCGGCCGACTCGCGCACGTATTGTGCATGCGGGCACACGGCGTCGTTGCGGTGCGGGCAGGCGCACATGAAGATTTTGGTCACCCGGATGCACATTCTCGTTAGACCTAGTCTATTTCTAGTCACTCCCGTGGAGACCTCTTTCGTGGCCTGTCGACTGCGCGAAGTTAGGGGAGGATCAAGCTGGTGTGACTTGATCAATAGTCAGTTATGCAGAAACAATAGCAATCATGGCTGGGGAAATCCCTTTAAGGCAAGTTCAACATGGGTATATATGCGTCTGCCTTCCTTGTGTCTTTTTGTTAGAGAACATCAGCATCTATGTTGTTGAGCCAAAACTCGTTTGTCAAAGAAAGACATTGTTTCAATGTTGCTCTTTTGTCCCCATCCTGGGCGCCTCGTAGCAGTGAGATTTCCGTCCAAGGCGGCAAAAATAGAAAAATAGACCACGTGACGTCGATGATCGAAGATGAGCAGACAAGAGGGCAAAAAGATAACTCGCCATCGGGAATTGAGCCCGACGTGGGGGTCGAACCCACAACCTTGAGATTAAGAGTCTCACGCTCTACCGATTGAGCTAGCCGGGCGAGGTTCTTAATCGTTGGAAACAGCTGCTATTGTTTCGCTCTATGACGTCTCTCCACCTGGAGCGAGTCAGGGCTCGAACCTTGATGCGCATGCTTGAAAAGTTTTATTGACTTTTAACTTTGAGTAGCCCAAAACAAAAAACTCTCTACGTTGTTGTTACCAAGATATTGTGGAAAGTGGTTGCCGGTTCGGTCAATCCTTGCAATATCTCGCATTCTCACGTTCTCGTCGACATAAAACCCACATTGTTTCCGACGATCCCACAGCCGCTGCAATCTCCATTGCCGCGAGACACGATCGGTCTACAATCTGTCCGATGCGATATGAGCGGCCCCAAGTAAATATCTCCCTTGTCATCTTCTTGGTCCCCATTGGTGGCCGAGTGCTCGTGGCTATGTCTTCAATGACCCAAAAGCCGCGGCCTATGTGGCGTGCCGAGACTTGAGACGAATGTGGCAAATACCCCTCGCTTGGTTGTTGTCAGTTGGTCCATGTTCCCAGTCACAAGTGGAAGATGCTAACTGTGAAACAATATTGTCACTTGCTCAAGATGAGACGCCACACAGGCCCAGCCATTCCGTAGAGATCCTGCTGTTTGCCCAACGATATTCCTTTGTCAGACTCAGACATACCAATGCTGGTTTGGATGGAGTGTTAATTGAAGCCCCGGGAACACGGAAGGGGGCAGGAAGACACAAGTGACTCTGCCCTCTGACACCAAGTTGAACGGTCACACGCGGATGTCCAGGGCCGAGTCGACACAGGCGACGTTTGGGTACTTATTTAAAGCACCTCCTGTAGCTATCTCTCAGCAACGCCTTCGTCGCATTTCCCTCCAGAAAGTAATTAATTATCTTCAAAACCATCAAAGACCTTGTCCCATAGCCCGCCGCCAGCCTTTCTCGACATCATTTATCACTACGATATCCTTGCTGTAGCATACGAAGCATACACCCCGCGGAGACTCCGGAAACGATTGATAACCAGCAATCGCATCATGTATCCCAGTCCTGCTCAGCCTCCTCCTTACAGCTCACGTTCATCTCCGCCTCCCCCGCCTCCTGCTTACAGTCCCGCCAGGCCCTGGTATGAGCCTTAGCAACCCCATCTCGAGACTGATCCGCACGCAAACTAACCCAATTACAGCTCTCATGAGATCGTAGATTACGCCCAGGCGCCATCGGCGGTTACAGAAGAAGCGAAAATAACCTTCTGGGAGCACCCCTGCAACCTGGGGTTACCGATTCAACGCATCACGGCCGAGAGCTTGAACTCGCGCATCTACGTATGTGCCCGGGATGGCGGACACAGGAGGTGCCTGCCGCAAGCCTCGGAGGTGCTGCTGTTGAATAGCGAAGAGAAACTCGTCGAGACCGGATCTGGCCGCGACCTCCTGACGGACAGATGCGACGAGTGGTGGATGCGATGCGGCCACTGCAACAAAACGCGCAACAACTTCCTCGAGAGCCATCCCTACGCTCGCCCCTTTGCGTGCCCGAAGCTGGGATGCGGCGCGATGCTCCCCGCCCGCCCCGCGCTCGAGGCGTGCGCGGGCTGCGCGGCACCGTACGACGCCAGCTGCATCCGGATAAACGGCTACGGAGAGGCGCTCAGGACTCCGGACAGGACCGGGCTCTTGGACAGGCGGAGGAACGAACAGCCGGAGCGCTTCGAAGCACGGGATCAAGCGAGAGCCAGAGATGCGGCGTCATCGCAAGGGCCGTTGGACTGGGTGGCGTCGTTGTTCTGATATTGACTGGCAAGAAATTTACAGGGTGCCTACTACACTACTTACCTCGCTATCTTATTAGGTACGTAAGCGCGTGCCTTGATCAGGAAAAGTAAACAAGGAAATATAGCAAATGCAAACCTTAGAGAGAAAACTCAAACAAACAACTCGTACACAGAAAATGCCAAGCGGAACCCATTGCACAGAGCCCCTGAAAAACAAAGACAAAAAAGACAAGCCGCCTGCCTGTCTCATGTACGAAACAAGAGACGGGACGCCAAAAAGTCAAAGCATGGATACACCCGGGATTGAACCGGGGACCTTTCACAAGATTCCACGACCGCTGTTTATCAACCAGCAGCCATGACCGAATGCTAAGCGAAAATCATACCACTTAGACCATGCACCCTGCGCTGAGAGGACCGGATGTGGATACCTCTTATATTTTAACGAGATGGTGGATTGCAAGTTGGGGATATGAGCGACGCGGAGGCTGGAGCACGGGGAAAGTAAGTATTCTAATTAAAATCTAAGTCTATAGTAGTTCTCTGGGTAATGCCGGGGCATTGTGGCGAGTTAACCGCCCATGCTTATCTATACGAACAACGTTTGCCCCTGAAAAAATTATTTGAAAACATTGATCGGATTCGGCCGTCTTTTCATGCCGCTGACCTCCACCACCACGCCGCAGCAGACACCGACCCAAGTCCCATCTAGCCAACCAACGAATCAATGAGCGGGCGCGGCACCACTAGCATGTGAGCGAGTCCGCCAGACCTGGATGGCCTCAGCAACAGCATCCTCCTCAGTGACGACTGGCGCGGGGGCGTTGCGGGAGGCGCGCATCTGCTCGAGGATCCTGGCGGCCTCGGAGGCGAACTCGCAGCGCATGCGGATGGGCGCGCCGTAGCGCCAGAAGAGGAACGGGAACGGCACGCACGCGAGCGCGAGGAACGCCGGCACCGAGCCGGCCCAGTGGATGCCCAGGTTCTCGTACATCTTGCCGGTGAAGAGGGGGAAGGCGAAGCCGAATAGGGATCGTACCACGGAGCCGGCGGCCAGGATCGACGCGGCGAAGACGACGTCTGATTGAGGAACGAGTTGGTTAGTATGACATGACAATGATGACGACGGGAATGGTCCCCCGGGAAGAATTAACTCACAGGAGTCGATCAGGTAGTTGATCAGCGACAGGAAGACCAGGATGAGGCCGCAGGCGAAGAAGGCCGAGGCGATGATCGAGACAGACCAGTGAATATCTGGGCCGCAGGTCCACGCAAACCAGAAGAGGCCGGCGGGGATCAGCACGGAGCCGAGAATGGCCGGGGGCAGCCGCGACTCTGGCGGGAGCACGCCGCCCTTGGCCGCCGCCGCGAGCCGCACATAGCGCTTGTTATCGATGATGCTGCCAATCGTGGCGATCAGCACACCCACGGCAGTGCCAATGAAAGCCAGGCCGCCAATGCCGGGGCTCCAGCCGCGCTGCTGCTGGAAGACGATGGGGTAGGCGGCGAAGTTGAGGTACAGGGTGCCGTAGATGATGGCGATGTAGATGGACGTGATCAGGACGATGGGCTCCTTGGCCAGCAGGACCCAGGGGAGGGTGAGCGCCGTCTTGCACTTCTGGAACAGCGTGGTCGGCGGCTTGCCGGCGTCGAGCGTCGAGATGTACGTCTTGCCGGTCGTCTTGGAGAGCAGCTTGGCGCGCCGGCGGAGCAGCACGGGCGCGTAGGTTTCGGGAATGAAGATGACGCCAATGATCCAGAGCACGCCCGTGAAGATGGCCATCAGCCCCTCGACCCAGCGCCAGCCCTCCGTCTCGCTGAGAAAGCCGCCTGCGATGGGGCCTGGAGACACGCACGTGGATCGTCAGCATGACACTCTCACCGGACATATCGGCTGCACTTGGTGGTAATCATCGGACTTACCGATGGCCGGCCCCAGGAACGGGGCCATGGCAAACACGCTGGTGGCCAGTCCACGCTCAGAGGCGTTGAACATATCAGCAATGACGCCGCCGGCGTTGGTCAGGATGGACGAGCCGAAGGCGCCGGCGAAGAAGCGGAGGACCAGCAGCGCGGCCATGGTGGGGGCGCCGGCAGCTCCAGCATTGAAGGCGGTGATAGCGGCAAAGGTGATGATGAAGATGCGCTGGCGGCCGTACAGCTCGCCCAGCGGGGCCCAGAAGAGGGGACCAATAGCAAAACCAAGCACGAAGAGCGAGACGCCGAGGGTGACGACGATCTGGGACACGGCGAACTGGCGCACGACCTCGCGCGCGGCGCCCGAGTAGGCCGAGCTGGCAAAGGTGACGGCCAGCGTGGCCATGCCCTCGATGGCCGTGATGGTCCACTTCTTGGACTTTGAGAAGTTGAGCGCGTCGTGCGGGTCGTTGGGCAGGAACTCGACCAGGAACGGGTCCGCGTCGGTGCCGGACCCGGCGTAGCTATAGCCCAAGTTCTTCTCAAGGTCCGGCCGCGTCTGCGCGAACGTGCCGAGCGTGTTGAACAGCCTGGACGCGGCCCCCTGGTGCTTGGCCTCAGGGCCAGGGCCCGGGTCGGCTATGGTGGCCGACGACAACGAGGGCGAGTCCGAAGGGGGAGCCATCTTTACCGTACACGATACTGACTGATGGGGCTGATGGGGTCAGGCAAGACGAGGTTGAAGGAGGATCCATGATTGCAACGACGGGTTGATAGTTAATTAATACCAGACAGTTGGGTTCGACAGAAGTCGGCGTTTCGAGGATTGTATTTGTGATGTCGGGGCTCGGCCGAGCTGGGGTGCCGCCATGGCCCAGTTTCTAATTGCCATTTCCAGACTCTGGCGACCTGGTCTCTTCTCTTCGCATCGCATCGCATCGCATCGCCGTGTGTGACTCGGGAGAGAGTGTCATTCGTTGGGAGTGCGAGGTGGGCACTCGTCCACATTTGTGCCGCGGCATTTCGTCCACGGCTCCACCTGTTGGCTGTTGGATGCACGGATGGACATGCGCGGTGCCTGAGTCACTCGTATCGAGCGAGTGTATTGAGTATAGTTCTGAGCTAGTTGTGGCACGTATAAGGATGGATGATGGCGTAACCGGCCATTAATTACCAATACTTCAATCCCGCGGTGTTCCGCGTCAGAACTCTGAAAGTGCGGAACGGATTCCAAAAGAAACTAGTGTAAAGCCCCGATATTCCGCACCTAATCAATGTCGACGGCGTTTCGCAAATAGCGGAATTTGCGGATTTAGTAAGCTCTGGGGGGAAGGGGGCTGACTGATATGGTTGTCCACGGCAGCAGTCAGCAATCCTTTGGGGCTAAATACGACGTGGGCACTCCTACTGGACAGGCAGCTGTGACTTCGGCATTTCAGAGCCTGCTGACAAAAGCCAAGCGCTAGGAAACGCCGAAATGCCGGACTCGTCGGGAATTCGTCCGCTCATAAGGACAAAGGGGCGGACGGGGTGCCGTCGGCCAGGCTTGGCCTGCCTCCTCCTTCCTCCCGCCACTCTCCGGCCGCGAATTCACCGTCGGTGAAATCACCGCCTAGGTAAGCAGTTTTGCATTCAAAATATCGAAAATGGACGGCGTGGCCATGACCGGCGAAAAGAGCCCAGTTTCGCCGCGACGGCGCCGCGAAAAGGAGGCGCCGGCGCCAAGTCTTGGACCGTTAACGTATCCGCCCGCCAAGCCCACCAAGGCTTGTCTGCCCTGCCGTACGCGCAAGGTCAAGTGCGATGCGTATTTGATCGGCCTGCCCTGCAGCGGCTGTATAAGCAGACAATGCTCTGAAAGCTGCCTAGTGTCGGCACGTAAGCGTCGAAAAAGGTCAGCCCATTTGTTTTTTCTGTTATCAGGGTCGGGTTTTAACACTAATTTCAGAGCCGGGGACACGCCTTCGTCCACCTCCCTCTCTGAGAAAAAGGCCGGAAGAACCGGGCCGCGGGAAGACGTCACTGTAGGTTTATTATATGCATGTCCGTCTGTTGGCTCGTTCTGGGTCTAGTTCGATGATCCAATCTCACCGCCCCTTCCTTTTGAGTCTTGACCCTGTGGTTTGACCAGCGTCTCGCATTTACCAGGTCCCATTCCCGCGGGATTCATCAACCTTCTCCGGAGACGGCGGCAGCCAGTCGACCCCCGTCGCCGACGCGGACAAACTTGCCCGAGTTTCAGGCGCTAAGCCCGCCGCTGCCGCCGCCGACGACGCCGTCGACCATGGGCATGGCTCATCCCAGCCCGGGTCCGTGTCGGACCTTCTCTGCTGCCAAGATGACCGCCAGCCGCAGATGCAGCTGCACTACCTCGACATCTTAAAGGACGCCATCAGCTGCAAGTCGTACAGTCGCATCTATGGCGGCGTCCTGCAGATGCGCGCCTCGCTCAAGCCGCCCCAGCTCGACGACGCCGACAGAGAGTTCCTCGCCAGGAAAGGCGTCTTTGACCTGCCGCCTCGCCACCACCTCGACGTCCTCCTCAAGACGTACTTTGAACGTGTCTACCCGTACAGCCCCATAGTCGACCGCGTCGATTTCCTCTCAAAGTATGCATCCGGCACCTTCTCACTGTTCCTGCTGTACGCCATGCTGGCCACGGCCAGCGTGACGGCCCCGTTCCACGTCATTTCCGGGTGCGGCTTCAAGGACCGGTCCGCCGCCCAGGCCGCTTTTACCACCCGGGCAACGCTGCTCCACGACCTGCAATTCGAGAGCGACCTCCTGCCAATGCTGCAGGGCTCCATCATCCTGGGCGCCGTCATTGTCGAGCGGCCCACGGACAAGGACTTCCACTACTGGCTTTGGAACGCCTCGCGGCTGGCTGCCAAGATGGACATCTACCCAAACGCCACGCGGGACCTCGACGGGACACCGCCTGCGCAGTCCAGGCTCTACAGGAGGATCTGCTGGATTCTCTACGTGAGTCACCGCCTGCAGAGTTCTCGGAGTTGGTTTCGTTTGACTAATGGCTCTGGAAAAAGTGCCGAGAAAACTGCCACATGATCGCCAACCCGCGCAGCAACCTGCGGCACCCGAACGGGGACCCGAACATCAAACCCATCACGCTGGCTGACTGGGAGACGGAGGAATCCCCAAAGGAGTTCCAGTCCATGGTGCAGCCCCTGACGGTTCGCCAGAAGCTTTCCTTTACCGCACGTTGCGAGCTTGCCAAAATCAGTACGCCCCTCCGCCTTCCCCCTTCCCCCTTTACCCTTTATTCCGGTTGAGTTGCGCCAAGTCTAACCCCGTTGTCAGTCGGGCGGCTGGTGACCCGGTGTCAGCTGCTGGACACGAACGCGGACCTCACGGCGGCGGCGGACCCGCGGCAAGGGACGAAGCTCCTCGATGCGTGGCGCATGTCGCTAGCGGAGAAGCTCGACTTCCGCGGCGAGTCGCCCGAGGCCGACATCCACTACGCCGAGCT